GAACTGTACTTGTATGTACCTCATCTATAACACATCATATGCACTAGGGCGTGTTCCTACACCTCATTCTCGCCATAAAGATGAGTTTTTAAATCGATTTCCGTCCATTTAACCATCCAAGAACACGCAACTCGATCCATATGTGTTTAAATAGAGAAGTGAAGTCATTTTTAACTTGTTATAGAATGAAATGATAAAATTCTGAATCGATTAGTGACTTTARCTTARAAATTGTTAAAAGCTTAGCGTTTTGGTAGCAAAAAGAGGCGTAATTAGTGTTCTCATGTTTTTAAGCTATTTGAGACTGTTATCGATCCCTTTGCTCTGTCAATCATTMAATGTTGATTGGATCATTCACGGACAAAGTATCAATATTCTGATCTATATGGAAATGAAAAGATTACGTACATTGCAATACAAACCACTCGACTAAAATAGAAWCTCGAAAATATTTGGTCCAGATATCGTTCTGGTGATCAGTTATGAATATTCGTGCACGTTTTGCTGGTAAAATCGTCGTATTTTTGTCWAGAAATTGTTTTTTAATCTTCATTGTCTCGCCTCGATCCGGTTATAATTAGCAGAGGTAAGCTAAGCAACTAACGTTTTTACCCGCAAACAAACTCTTTTGTTTGATTAAATGAATACTGAAATRAGCCGGGATTTTGTTTTTAAAAATTGAAATATGGCATTGAGTGAACRTTTCATTGTGAGAAATCAAGTGTTTGGCTTCATGAAATACTTAAAACTTCACCACTCTTTGCCCATCAAAAACCTCTTTAGATCCTGACACTTAAACTAAACGGAAAAGAATGTATTTCAACGTTGTTCTTTGTTGATTATTGCCCACCGACTCGTGTGTTGCATCCATCATTGATAATCAAATTACAAAAACTAAGAAAGTSATTTTCTGTAAGTAGTTTAAAATCGCTTGTGACTTCTATATCTCTAGCCAGTAATGACCTTGTATAGTATCTTTATTTATTTATATCTTTTTCTCGCTTGTAAGTTGAAAAATCTCTGTACTGGCTATCAACTTTCAGCCATTGCGTGTTCTTAAAAGGAGGCGATCATCAAGCTTTCATGATAACACTTTGCAGTATTTTAAAACACACACGGCACGTAGCAGTGGTTGTAATTTGTTATCTAACCTAACTATGTCAATCGTTTAATTATTTCTTATCAATACTCAATGATTTATCAGAAAACCTTTTAAAAAGTCAAATATAATTGGCAGTTAACCTGCGGTTCGKCATATTATGACTAGGTATTTATAATAAGATGTGAAACAACTGAAAAAATCATGATAAAATGGCATTTTGTTGTATCGTAAAAACCATTCCTGCTGATACCGAGTTATCTTTCCTTTTGGAAAAAACATGGATACAGGAAAATAGTGATTTGATGTCTTTGGATATGCAGAAGGTTCTTGGTGATGTTTGAGTAATTCATAACTGACACTAGTATATAGTTCTCTATTTTCTTTTTCTTTTTCTTTTCCATTTTTAATCGTACAGTGGACAGACTAACAGTGACMTTTTTGTGTATGACCACCTCAACTACTACGACCAACTACTTACTACGAMCAGGCATTTTTATCGTGGACATACAATACTATGGACATACAGACACTCAAGACGCATCTTATGCAACAACCAGCTAAATAAAACGACCAGGCATTTTTATTGTTTTGAACCTGAACATACCATACTATGGACGTACAGACACTCAAGAACCTCTAATACAGCGACCAACTAAATAAAACGACCAGACATTTTTATTTCTTTGAACCTGGACATACCACACTATGGACATACAGACACTCTAGAACCTCTAATACAGCGACCAACTACTTAAAACGACCAGTCATTTTTATTGCTTTGAACCTGGACATACCATACTATGGTGGGAACTAGCGGTAAACTAGTGTGAGCTGCGTCGGTGTTTCTAAAGAAACAGATGCGTAAAAAGATAAATTTAACACCGTAAAAAGTAGGTGAAATAACTTACTGACGTTTCGGACGTTAATCCTTCGTTGGAGTAAAGAGATGGAACTAGGTATAGTGTGAGTTTATATAGTAAGAGTAGCAAAGAAAATAGACCAGTACTATGGACATACTCATGACACTCAAGAACCTTTGAAACAACGACCAACTACTTAATACGACCAGGGCTTTCTATTGATTCGAACTYCTGGACAGACAAGCACTAAAACTTAAAGCGCTTCAGAAAGTGTTTAAAATACTGCAACGATCTACGGTTTAATGCGACCTGGCAAGGTCATTTGGTCTAAACTCCTGGACAGAAATTAAGACCGCTAATACTTATACTACAGCGACCAACTGCTTTTTGCGATCGGTAAGATAATTGGGTATCAGCTGTCATTTCAGTCAAGTGACGCACGACATGCTCAGTGTTTCATTGTGGTGAACCAATGGCGCCGCCTATGTTCGACGAGGAGGGTAATCCAGAAAAKCAYATTTCAATCCAATCATTGTCTAACGTTTTTTATTCATTGTTCTATCGTTTTGTTAAGGATATAATCCCTTTTGGTTTTTGTTAGTTTTAATGTTTTGAAAAACGTTCTGTTATCCGGATACTGTCTGAAGAGGCGGGGCCAGGGTTCAGTTTTCGCTRTTGTGACAATCAAAGTCTTGTCTGTAGTTCTTGAAAAGTGAGATGCATATTTTATTAAAAAAACGACTCTTTTAACGTCTCTTCCTCTTCTACATGCTGAATAATACATCTAAAAAACTAACACGAAACGCTCAATCTACTATTGTCCTCATAAAGGAAATGGTTACATGTGATGCACTTCACGATTCATTRCAAATATAGAGGATATTACATGGGCGCGCGGAGATATGGATTTTATCTTTGAGTGTTGAAAATGTCTCTCACGAGTGAGCGTAGCGAACAGACTTTCAACACGAGAAGATAAAATTCGTATCTCCAAGCGAACATGTAATATTCTATTTATTATATAATTGTATATTAAAACAAATTACGTCGTAAAATAGCTTTTTTCTTACTTCCACTGTATAGAGAAACCTCAAATGTGTTATATTTTCACTACTGAAAATATCAATTTTACGAAATGGAGAAATATAAGTATTTCATAGATAATTATATGATAAATCTGCATTTTGTATCACATGTGAATTGAGATAAATGGCTTTGTGTATTTGATAGKTTTYGAAATAGCCCTTTGTAGGAGCCATACGAACTCGTCCGTGAGTGTCAAAACCAGGTGTTTGGTCTAATCATTGCATTTAGGCGGTAAATTAAGGATAACATTAGTAATCTGAACGCACTGTTATCTTATTCGCTGAAAGTTCTAATGGTTTAATTTCGATGTTTTTAGTGACAATTCAAGTAGCAGGAATCAGTAGTTTAAGATATCTACCTGTTCCTCTTAATGGATGGCACGGGTACTTGACTAACATACATACTATATCAATACAGGCAATTATAAACAAATCATACAACTAGGACATTAATACAATRTATAATTGTCATAAAGAAGTTTGGTCCTTCGGTTATGCGCGCTGTAGTTGGTGTGTAGTATAKTGYCCGAGTAGACGCACGTTCGCTTCTTTCATGATCACAATACACTACCGCGTTATCGACGATGTTCTACTCTCGTGATGATTTAAGAGCCGTTTTAAGTTCTTTTGTACTTCCCTGCGTGCTATAAAACACGATCTACTCTATCTTTATTGCTTCACCGGCCATAAATGTACATAACTAAAACTGATCAAAAAATTGTCACATTATCGTCAGAAATCAMAATTCTTTTAGGTGTAGTATCTCAGACAGCAATATATATTAAAACATTTAGATTTACATGAAATTGAAGCTGAGATGGAAAAATCTAAAARGTAATTGACAAAGCGTTCAGGATCTTGGTAAAAAAGAAAAAAATCCCTTTACGCTAATTAGAATCTAAATACGTTTAAATAACTGCTTTGATAAAGTACTGAAAAGGTGCAATTGTCAAGTGTTATTATACGGTGTATAAAGTCTATCTAGTTACAATATTGAAGTTGAAATAACATATCTTAAGAAAATATTGCCGACCAATGATCAATTTTGTACAATAACTTGATTTCTTTTGTAGAATATATTCATTGGTTAACGAATTTTCATGCACTAGTCTGTCTTACCTTAAAACACGACTGAAATCCCCCTGAATGACACATTCAATTCTGATAACTTCACTTTTAGTCGGTCTTAACTTTCCAATGAATTATTCAAGAAGGGATTAACAAACGCGCTCGGTGGTGATTTTCACCACTGATTTTTTACCTTTTTTTTTGCTGTGAAAGTTCTTTGGTTTTGATGTTTTGTTTCTTATCGATTTGCTTTTGTTAATTGTGGCTGTTAGTTTAGCAGGCAAGAACAATGAATGATTACTTCGAATACTCTAGACACGTATAACACCAATGTCGGTAGGATAACAAAGACATGTACAGATGCGTGGGTGAAAAACTCTAGACCGACTCAATAAAGCGGGATAATAACGGACGGCACTCATATAACACGACCTACTATTAAAGATAACGGACACTAAGCGGTTTATAACAAAACAAAACCTCTTCTAAAACGACCAAAATTAATATTTACCATGGACACTTGAAATGTTCAGTTATGTAAAAAGATAAATTTAACACTGTGAAAAAGTAGGTGAAATAACTTACTGACGTTTCGGACGTTAATCCTTCGTCGAAGTCAAAAGAAAGATCGATTCAGCATTTAACGAACAATTTTAATAAAAAGGCCAAAACTATAACTATATTTATAAAAAAATATAATTCACACCAGTGAACTATTTGATGTAATTTTGAAGCTTCTGGACCTGCGCAGTRCGATGCCGCCGCCATATTGGATAAAGACAGACGCGCCAACATGGTGGCGATAGTGTTGTACTATTTTTGTCGGGTGATTTCTGGTCATGTGGTTGAACACTAAGAACAACGAACAACAAGAAAGTCGAGTACCTCCATACCACAATCTGTGTAGCGGGAGTGCCCATCACGAAAAGYATGCTGGGATTGCAAACTAACCAATCAWAGTAGAGCWYCATGGACCMAGTCGAAGCGAGCTAGATTTTTCAGCAGATTTGTGGAAGTTCCGACATTTCTACCACAATAAAAACGGTTTTGAATAGAGCAGACGCCACATTAAGATGTACAACAGCTTTGCTAACCACAGAACTGTAAACTGAGCGATTTTAACAATATTGAATGTCGTTATAAGTATATTGGACCTCCCGCGAGAACCCGTTTTTAAACACCGATAAAGCTCACCGAAAAGCAATAATCCACTAATTTTACTAACTATCGTGACAGACACTGTATATTACTAAGTCAAAATATTATGCCTGGTGCATAGTGAAGAACTAAAACAAAGACGTTTTTCGTCAAAATGTCATTGAATGGAATTAGTGTCATATCGTGCATGTCGCTGCGGTGTTCTTTATAAAATTCCTTGTTTAATACTCRAATAATTGTTTTAAACACGAAGTCACGTTGCAAATGTAACTTCGAAATACTCAGCGATGGGAGGTCTATTTCTTGTAATAAGCTCTTAAAACTAGCCACTTTTGTACAATTATTTTGTTTTTATTTTGGAAAATAGAACAGTAATTCTTGGCAATGTGCAATTTGTTTCTCTTTATACTCAGGTTACTTTATACTGGATTTGAGGGAGGTCAATTTTGACTTTCACAGTTTTTTCTTGGAGTATACGGATTTAGAATAAAGTAATCCGGATYGATGTTTTTTTACCATTGCCAGCATACAGAGCCTGGTCTAGTTACCTCTTTAGTTTTTAAATAGCACATAAATTTGACAGACTAAGTTAACAATATGTCTAAGCTGGTCTTCTTGTCGCGTTCATAAAGCCCCAAATCGCATTTAAGTATAAAAGGTGTTTCTAAACACTGGCTTTGCTTGATAAAAGCTGATCTCGCGATGAAATTAAGACAGTTGTTGAGGAAATCAAGCTTATAATCCTCATTGTTGTAAGGGAGATGGATAATATGTTGTAATATTAGGAAATGAAGATTGTACTAGTTTGTTGTCAACATTGGGTTTAATCTGTAAGTTACTGACAGAAAGCCTTCCTGCCTAACAATTTTTAATTAGCTTTTTATCCTTGATTTAGATTTTAGAAAGAAACAACTAATGCATGGWTAATGAGTTGTAATATGGCTAAAAAAGTACGCAGATTTGATTTGAGTTGAAGTCTTCTTCCAACGCGAAAATGTTCGCAGATTTAGACTTGTTTTWCAGCAAAAATGGCGTTCCGGRTATGGCTCTTTSTCAAYCATAATTTACTGGTARCTAATGTTTCTYGAGTTCAAAATTACATCGAGAAGTAATTATAAGTGTTTATAAATTGTACATTAGAAATATAAGTACAAAAGATATCATAACGGGTAATTGAAGTAGCGAATTGCGTCACTAGCACATGTTCCGCAGTTTCAAGAAAGTGAAAATTTTACAATGAACCAATTATATGTAATTGTTCCTTATAATAATAATGACGATGTAATTATCATTGTTGTTGTTAAGTTAAAGTATTGTATTATCGACATCGTTACTATATTTAAGTTTAAGTGTATAAAACGCTATACCACCCTACCTAATAATCCTTGAATAGTGGTCAATAGCCACCTGATACCAATATTTCAAAGTCCTAACTGAGAAAAGAAGATATTCGTTTATCTAAGGACAAGTAACTGATAACTTGATATGAGTCTAAAACCTCAGAATAAGTCAGAGTGATTTATGTAAAGACTCTTACACAAATACACCAAGAAATCCTGAATACATGAGCACCATCCCTATAGAGCATGGTTCTACAATCATTCCACGGCAAGTTATATGATTCCTGCTGATTGTTTTAGCAATAATCTAGCTACTAGCTACAAATCAATACATGCACTATCATTTATCATGAGAAACGGAAATGCATCTTGTACCAAAAATTGTAATTTCACAAAAAGCTGAAATCTGATCGTTTTTCTGAGGTTTTTGCATCTCTATACAGTCGGCCGGGACGATGCTTTCAACTCAYATTTAACGTAAGCTCCAGAATAATTCAATTTAGTCACGTTAAAATACATTTAAACTGCCCAGAGGTTTTCTTTTTTGCTTTGTTGCAGTGTTTTTCTGTTTCTTTTTCTATTGTATTAGTCAGTGATCATGGAATCGAAATCATTTTTTCTGTGTTCTAAAATTGTCTTCATTTCGTACTTACTATGTTTTGACACTGTGTTGATGTTAAATTGGAGTTTTCTTGTGTTTTCCCCCAAAGCTGGTCGTTTCTCTTTGTAAATCGTTCTGTAATTAAAGTACTTTGATTAATCGACCCCCTCTGAGGGTCTGACTAGAATGTTTAATATCTAAGGTTGTCCTCTATTGGTGCATTAGGCTCTGTCACTCTCCTAAGACAGTCAGGCTTACGAGTCATGTTTGCCTTGGGACGAAGGCTTTATTTTAGGCTTAATCACGAAGCTTGGTTAATTAGAATAAACATAGGTTGCTTGATTCTACATTTTGGCTCAAGYAAAAAGGTCTAAATYCTCGCGTGTTATAGGAATACTGTTTTCAATCTTGACTAACAATGCGATTGTCACCAAACTGAGAAACCTGGATGACTATGGGCACTTCTTTTTTACAATGGACAGCTATTGTATGTCGAATATAGTTCCTTTGCGGTGTGTTTGCAAGTTTGTGCTAAAAATTGTCAAAAAGAAGAAAGAGGAGGTTAGTTTTTTCTTGAAATAAGTCCTYCGACCATCCTAGCTTTTACTGAGCTTTTACCCGACGAGGCCCTCCTTCTTGTTCTCATGACTGTGTGATTTGTCCCACATTGTTTGGCGAAATAGTAGACTGTATTAGAGTCACCCATTGAAGTTTTTTCAACTGGATAAAGTTTGCATTAATCTTCAAACCAACAGCATTTATAAGGAGCTAGCTATTGCACCCTTCTAGAGTCAAACCACACAGCTCTCGAAAACTGTACAGTTTTTGACAGGTAAAACAGTTCACAAAAAATCGCAACTACTTGGTCTTGTAACCATATCTAGTATAGATCTAGTAGTTCAGTTTTCGTGGTCTCTACCACGTTGTTCTCAGGAAGTCATTCCTTTTGTGATCGAACACTTGATCTTATTTGTTCCTTTAGAATGTCATCAAATATAAATTATTGTCGAGGTTTAGTGTATGCAGGCTTGTATYAAGGTAAACATGATCTATTGACTGTGGTCTTACTCCGGTATGTCTTGTTTTTATCAATAGAATTTAATGTCAGAAATTCGACACATTGGAATGTCTTAATTAAGAAATCTGTTTCAATTATAGTAAAAATAGAATGACGTATGGGCGTATGTAACTATTCCATTCACCCGGCTGTTTTCAACATTTTGGTTGAATAATACATTGAGCTATAATGTATTGATTTGATCGCTTGAGTGATTGATGAATGATGGATTGAATCTTAAATTGAGTGTTTGAATCATTGATTAAGTCTTCGACAAGTGATTGATCTTCGATTGATTGAATATTCGATTAATTAATTGATTGAACCTTCGATTGATTGAACCTTCGATTGAATGATCGATTGAATCTTCTTCGTTGGTTGTAATGATTAATTATGATCATGCGAGCGATATGACGTTTAAGAACAGTTTAATCGGTAATCACTGCTACTTTTGAAATCTTGGAATTGATCAGTGTTGTCGAAGCCGACCGTTTAAAAGAAGCGCTTCGTCACGTTCCGTAATCGTTGTTATCTTATGTTATCACACATGTCAATCTCGCATACAATACGAGCATTAGTTCAAATGAACGCGAACCTATACGATGATATTCCGAATGTCGCACGAACCAACGAACATAGTACGACGGCGCATTCTACGTACATATACTAGGTACGACAGCACTACGAATGAATGCGAACATGGACCGAARACTACAGTTCAGACTGGCGAAGATATGACGATTTCTACACGAACTTCTTCCGAATACTCCACGAACATACTCCCACCAGCTCAGTATGTACGTATAACAAGCCAAAATTTCATACTATCAAGTTTCAATGGTTTTCTTATGATTGTGTTTATGATAATGTGTTATAAAATCGTCCGTTCAGCTCAATAACAACGATGCRGTCCTTGCTAGCGATACAACTGAGAATTTCCATGAAAAGTGTTTCGTAAATTGTTTATGAATATATTTTTTTTTTCTACTAAAAGTTGTTTTGGTGGCTCGTGTTTCCTGCTTTAACGTAAATATTTCCTTTGACGAATCTTTTKCCTATTGTAATACCCAGATTAGTGAGATTATAACCAACGCTCATTCATTAAGCAATTTGTCTTTTATAATATAGAATGAGCATTCTTACTGCTCAACACAACGCTTTTAAAATAAAAAAAAACACTCGGTTTTTGTTGGCACCATTTCATTTTATCGCATTGTTTTTTGTCGTTCGTAGGTTGTCAGTAAATCTACTAGTGTTTTGTCGTTTGTGTTCTTGGATAATGACAGTGCATGAGTGATTTATATTATGCTCTTGAATTAAATCACCACCATATTATTTCAATTAAGAATAAAATTGATGCTTGATGTAGACCAACGTGTAAGGAGGTACTCGATGATTTACTAATATTCTAGATAATTACAAAAGATGACGTTGGATTTTTTTTTTCAACTGTTTTGCTATTTTTTTTATCGGGCTTGAAATATACCTTTATCTCAGTAGTTATACAATTTGTTATTTTGTCGAGTTATCAATTACCAAAGACTACGCGCAGGCAGTTTCTAAGTCCAGTTTGATTTATCTGATACATTAAAAAAAATATTTTCTTTCCCTGATCCATTGACTTAAATATGAATTAGAGAAAAATGCCACTATATCACGAAGAGTGGTTTAAAGGAACAGCGCGCTTCCATCCATTTTTCCACTTTTCCGTTCCCTGTTCTTGTCTGAAAATCGCTGCAGTGTTTTTTGATTGTCTTCACTCATTTTGCTAATAAATAATCACTTTATCTATAGAAATATAGCGATTCATGATCAGAGTCCTGTTTAGCTTACCTTATAGCATCTCTAGTACACACTGTGTTATATTATGGTTGAAGTCGACAGAAGACACCAGTAATGTAGACTATTCAACAAAAGATTAAATTTTTCCACATTTCCTTAGTCTCCTTGACGACAAATATTGTAAATCAACAACTTAGGGAAATGCGGACTTTCTTATAACACAGACTTCAATTAGTTTTTCTACAAAATCACGTCATTGCGAGTTTCAAGTTACGTAAATCGTACAGAAAAAACCCTGACTTAACATCGCTTAAAATAACACCACTCCTCCCGCCCTACAATTCACAGCTTTTATGGCTTAATTAAGCCCAAAAGCGCTCTCGACGTTCAAAAACGAAATCTTGACCGCATTTTTGTAGCACAAAAGCCCCGAAAACCTTTATTTGAAAGGGGTCGTGTTTTGCCAATTTGTATAATGATACGGAGGTTATATAATAAACAAACAATTCATCCTTTGATAAATGAGGTTTTGCGAAAGGATACAAAATGCTAACAGCCGCAGCCCAATCTAACAAATGAGAACAATATATCAATGAAAGTAGTAGGAATTAAAAAGAAAAGACTGGAATGCTTTTAAAAGTCTCTAGGTACTCATCACATTTTCAAATCTTAAGTTCACTTTTAAATAATTTGATGTTAGATCTCCAAAAAGGCATTTATGTTGTCACATACTAAGATAGATGACTTAACAASGCGATCCCCAATAAGTCAAAGTCGAACGAGGAAATTAGTGATCAATATATGTTTTTGAAAACACAACAAAAACAAACTGTTAAGAGTCGGTCTCTTTTGAGAGATATTTCAACAAGACAATAACAAGAATAATTGAAAATAAATGAAGAGAAGGATAGTCATTTATGGGAAAGTGATGTGTAGATATCATTAGGCGCGTAGAGATTTGAATCTTATCTTCAGTGTGTTCAATTGGAGCTACAACTAGTTGGCTTGTTTCTCTTTTTCGAGCGGGAAATACCAGAACTATTTCAATAAAAGTTTCTATCAAAAGTGCATTGTTAACTTTACAAGATCACTCACAAACCAGTTTAAGCCAGTGATGTTAGTTTTTAAAATGGTTGRTTACAGCTAATTCAAAAAGGTTGAATAGCATAGCATTATTAGAAGTCTAGAAACTAACGCTAGTTTGCTTAATATTTGCATGTAATGTAATATCTTGCTTACATTATAGACAGAAAACCTGTTTGTATTATCTAGCTATAAAACTTGCTATTTTCAAGGTGATATTCCCTTATGTTGCAGAAATTTTTGACGCTTATCGGAATGTTGTTATGCTAAAAATCAACACTGGAATTCACTGGTATATTTGTCGATCCTCTATGGACCATTGTCTCCCATGAACGTAAAACTTGCTGGGTTGGAATGACTGCTTTTTTGTAAATCACCATATTTCATTTTTGTCATCTTAAGGCAATAAACATTACTATTGTCAAAATAATCCGGGGTTTGTAAGCTCTTAGTGAGCTATAAGTAAGTATATTATAGTCTATAGCTCTAACTCTTACCGTCTAGGCTTGACCAACACCTTTCACCAACACCTATCGCTAGTACCGCAATATTTTCTATATCGCTATCTGTTTCACTGTATAGTTTGTTATGRGTCTTGGTTTGTATACATCCACATACATTTCCTGTTGTATTATATCCTTCACAATGACATTTAGAATTAAAAGTGCTTTTAGTTAACTATTACTAGGACATCTACAGTAGTTCTCTGCCTCGCTGTTTTATATATATACTGATGRTTTAAAATTTTACTAAGAATGACGTCATATATAGGGTGAATCTTGCGTACTTCAAGTTTCAGGCCAAATGGTTTWGTCTAGTGGTGTTTTATTYTMGTGTTGATTTTGTTCAGSCACACACGGCTACTTCAAAGGAATTAAAGCAATACAGAAAGCAAACATTTTAACAGTAATTGTACTTAGGTTTTCGTAATAGTGTATCAGTGTTTTTGTTTCGATTAATTTCTCGTTATTATGTTACACCAACGGTAACCATTACTCACGAATCGACACCAACTAGATCACGAACAGGCTTATAAAAGCCATCTTCACTGAAAAAAAAGAAAAATGAGACTGAATGAAATAATGAATAAACTAGTGGGATTGGATGAAAGAGCTTTTTTATAAAGGATGCAATAGTGTGTCAAGAAATGAATGATTGAATGAATTATAGAACGTGACAAAGAGAATGAATGGTCGAAGAATAATGTATATTATGGGTAAAATGGATGTGTGTATTACAAGACGTCTATATGCCTCATGCATGGATGTACGTACTATACATATAACTAAATCATAAAATAGTCCATCGTAAACATCTAAAACCACAGGTGAATTTGAGCATGAAATATTGCCATGAAACAAATACAAAAAAGTTCAAAGATCGATAACTTTGACTAGAATCAAACCCGTCACTACGTTCAATGCTTTTCAGCCACAAATGAATCTTCTAATTTCCAAAGCCGATTTTGATTATCAATCTCWAGAATGTGTGCTGAAATTATCAAAAGTACAAGTTATGATTAACCGATTTAGATTCGTGGTTTTTGATACAGCACGTTGTCCTTATAAAATAATTTCCCGATGTCAACGTAGGATAGGATATCCATTGTACTTAGTTTTCAATATTCTTAGCTAATTCATAACAATATGCAGCTGTTTTGGTGACCACTTACTAAAAGGGTTTTGACAGAAATCATGATATGCTGTGATACACTTCAACAGGTTGATTTGCCGAGATATGGCTAGCCAATTAAGACTTTTTTTTCATTAAAATTACTAACATCATGATACTGCTGATTTCAGAAGCTCCATGGCCTAAAAAATTAAAATTCGTACTATATCGAGGAACGACGTGAGCATTTTTGAACTTGCGCAAAGTTTCCTGGTGAATGGTAGACCGATTTTTTAGTCAGTATTGAACGATTTGTTGGATAAAATGAACTTTTTTTAAAAACACTTTGTATGACGGACGCGCCACGCCCAAGAACCCGGATTCACAATGCTAGAAGCCCCGCTAGTACGGAAATTATTTGAAATTGATATCTGTAATGACTGAAATTATTGCGGAAACAATTCTGTATTTTTGACCGTGACCGGAATATCTAGACTATTGTTACTGGAAAAATAAGACATGATGCACAACAAGGATGCAAAGTGGTTAGATGAAAGGGATTTGGACACGACAGTACAATGTGGCAGTCACGATGCAAAACGCTTTGGCAAGTATGATGTTTTTATTCAATTCTTAGTTTTTGACAATTTCAATATTATTTAGACTAATTACAACTGAACTCACTTTAAAAACCTAAAACGTTAAAAATATATACCGATGTTTTTTGTATTTTTAGTATTATTTATTATCGTTTGATAACGTTATATTAAAATTATACTTTAATACAACCTAATTTATCAGTTACTTCCAATAATAGTAATAAGCTAGGGTTATATCATTTCAAACCCTTGTTATTTTTTCATAATAAACACTTTCACTAGAAATTATCAATAATTACTGAATATTTTTGGGGGGTCTATCACACATAACACTTGGTTTCACCAATGCACTCTTATATGAACTAGCCTTAGACTGTTATCAGTCACTAGTACTGACAAGTCATGATTATTGATATCATATCACTGCAGCACCAAAATGCACTCTGGGTATAGACATAGTTGACACAAATCTCCACCCACCCACCCTTGGGTCATACACTTCCACAGAATCAAGAAACTGGCCATTGAATCCACCAAGTACAAAGATTCTGTCCTTCATTACTGTCACACATGCTGCTGAGCGTGCTCTGTTAAGTGGCTGGGTTTCTGTCCATGTGTCAGTCTGTGGGTCATAGTATTCCACATCTTTCAGGTAATCATGACCATCAAAGCCTCCTATGACGTAGAGTTTACCATCAAGTGCTGCTATACCAGCTACAGACCTTGACTTGCCTGGAATTTAAGATTAAACATTGGAAAATTGGAGATTGTTTATAATAAGGTCATCTATAAAGGGAGTTTTTCATGATGTCAGGGTGTCTGCAAGGCAAGAGTACTGACAATGGTAAAAGAATACCAGATACTTACTCATAGAAGCAACTTTTGTCCAGATATCTGTTTGTGGATCATAGCACTCCATTGAACAAAGTCTGTTTGCACCACTGTGACCACCAACCACGTACAATAACCCACCAAGAGTTGCAACGCCATGGTACATACGAGGTGTTAGCATTGGTCTAGTCATTGTCCATTTATTGGTAAAATGGTCATAACATTCTACACTATTCAATCTTTCATTACCATTAGATCCTCCAACTGCAAATATCTTACCACATAATGACGCTGCTCCAAAGTACTTCCGCTCACAGAACATTGGCTTTTCTATTTTCCATGAATCAGTTTCAGGGTTATAGCTCTCAACTGTGTTCAAGAACTGGCCATTGTGATATCCCCCTAAGCAATAGATGTGCCCTCTGACCTGACTTACTGCGAATCCATATCTTGATGTATTCATAGAAGGAAAACTTAGCCATTCATCAGTGTAAAGGTTGTATCTCTCGGCTGATGCTACTGCTTCTCCTGAATACAGTCCACCCAAAGCTACAAGGACATCAGAAAAACCGGTAGGGACCCGTGGCTGCATTCTTTGTATAGTGACCTGCTTGCGTTTTTCAGATGATGGTGACATTGCATAATCAACAGCCTCTTGTATCATGTGACGGCATTCATCGTTTTCTTGTAAAAGACTATTGCTTAAAACATTTGATGATAGGTACTCTGGTGAGAGGATTGGAAGACGGACGCAGCTCAATATCTCTACAAGGGCAGTGTATCGACTTTTAGATGTCATAATCCATACCATAGCTGCCTCAAAGACATCTTCCTCAGAGCTAACACAGATATTCTCATCCAGTAACAAGTCCTTTACTTCTTCCAAAGACAGGCGTTTGTACTCCTCGTATTTGACGACTTGGTTGAAGTTTTTAACAGTAAATTTACTGGCTTCGTTGAGGAGTTCCTCGCATGCAAAGCGATCGGCAATGTTAGCGATTCCTAAGCAGTTCGAAGGGTGAAGCTGTTCTTTTAAGAACTCACTACACACATTAATAATCTCTAATATCTGAAATACACTAGCTGCGCTTAGCAGGTTCTCAACATTGTCATCGTTGATGCAAATAGCACTGGTATAGATGAATCTTATGATGGCTTCCAACGCTTTACCATCAATTCCTTTCAACACTACTTGATCTTTTGAACTTTCAACTAAATGACCAGTAAACATAGCTCGAAAATACGGGCAAGTAGCAGCTAGAACATTACGATGTACATTTATAGTGAGTCCGTCGTCAGTTTTGAGAGTGACATCACAAAGCTGCCTTTGTTCAAACATCGAGTGAAGACCAAGCAATGTTCTTTCAGCGCTGCCTGTTGAGAGATATTTGATTGAAGACATCTTTGATTTAACCTTTCCGTGACTGCAATCAAATAAGTCAAACGTGACATAAAAAGATCTTCATAACATTCGAATCACGAAATCGAACCGGTGATCAAACACAAACAAAACAAAACAATTTATGCGTGAATCCGCTGGTCAAACATATTATGCATAACCGCTGATAATTTTTTGAGCCAGCTGTATACCACAGGAAGCCCGTCAGCATAGTCACGCGCCGTCGATCGTTCGATACCTAATCTTTTGTCCGGTGTATTTTTACTGGGGTTCAGTATTTGCCGTATTTCGTAACATTTGCTTTATATAAGACCCTGTTTCCAGTGTCCAACCGTGCATATCACCTGAATTCACAGCTGTGTTAGTGTGTCTTAAGAGTGCAAAATCTATCTCATCATGCCTGAGTTACCTACAGAAGAGTTCCAAAATTTCTTGGACCAAAATCAATATACAGAGACCGGTATTCTGAGATACGAGAAGATTTTTGGCAGAGGATTCGTTAGCACTGGAGGTTTAGAAACTACAAAGGTTAGAGCATTTCAAATCTTACTTAGAAAAACCGTATTTTACCAAAATCATATTTATTTGGACTTTTGGCACTAAAAAAAAAAGAAATGTACAAGCTGATTGGCTACGTAAGAACTTACGATCAAACGTTCGATAGTGTGGATTCGAACCTTTTTCCCTCTATGAATTAAGGGAGGGTAAAACGGTTGTTTTCGTTTTCTTCGGGTACCAGCTGCATGGCCCTGTGAACATGATTAAAAAAATAATAACATTTTGAAGTTATTGCAAAGCATACAGTGAACGTTTCGGACTTTGAACATCGAAAATAGAATTATAATATCAGCATTTTAGTGGGCAATATTTCAATACAGATTTGGCAATGTTGCTCAAAAATATCATAATACCTTTTGACGCAACTTATCCAGTATTTCACCCTATTTCTTAATTTTTAGATTTTTTGTAAATTCTATTTATCTGATATTATCAAAAAACTAGAAAAAGTGATATTGCACAACTTTGGATAATGTTGCTAGTAGTTTTCCAGTCATCTGGTTAATGAGAGCATTGTGCAGTGGACTATGTCACCTTTGACCTGTAGAATTATGAGTCTGTGAATTCCCTTTGAACCTTTGGACTTTTATTTTTAACATTGCAATAAAAAGTGATTTATTTTTACAATCCATGTGTAATTTACCTTTCTGAGATTTACAATAAGACTGGAAAAATTCAGATTGTTTTAGATTTCATATAACTACATCATTGCAAACTGCAAAGTTGCATTTTGACTGCTACACCTTTCGGGAAGGCCTCATATTGATTTAACAAAGTAATATTATCAAACCTAACTTTCTTGATTATTTTTTTATAGGAATTTGTGGGACTTTTAGACTTGAAACCTGGCCAGAAAGTTCTTGATGTTGGCTGTGGAATTGGAGGGAGTGCCTTTTACATGTACAAAGTATGACCTTTGCATTCTTTTATTGTCATAGAGCTTATCATTATTTTTACTGTCATAATTTTACTCCGTTTTGTTGGGTTTCCTGTTCTTTTTGGCAGACAGGAAGCCCAACAAAGAAGCTTGCAAATTTCATCAAGATTATAACTTTTTCGTCTTCAGAATTATGGCGTAGATGTGCTTGCAGTTGATCTTTCAACAAACATGATTAGAATTGGGCAAAGAAGAGCACAGGAAGAAAAGTGTGCAGATAACGTAAGTCTCTTCAGTACTGGCYTGGGAGGAAATGGAGCTTTCTATAAACGTTTTAGAGATTATTCAAGGGAGACACATAAAAATACTAAACATTGCATAAAGAATGGTGAGAACTAGCAGTAAACTATTGTGAGCTGCGTCGGTGTTTCTAAAGAAACAGTTATGTAAAAAGATAAATTTAACACCGTAAAAAGTATGTGGAAAAACTTACTGACGTTTTGGATGTTAATCCTTCGTCTTTACTCTTCGCTCTTTAYTCCGACGAAGGATTAACATCCGAAATGTCAGTAAGTTTTTCCACATACTTTTTACGGTGTTAAATTTATCTTTTTACATAACTATTGCATAAAGAGCTGAGTGTAATAATTGAACGTTTTATAAATAAAAACAACCAATTCAGAAGTTTTAATTATAAACCCCTTTTTCAGGTGAAATTTGCTATTGTTGACATCACAACAGCAAATTACAAGCCAGAATCATTTGACGTGATATACAGCAGAGATACCATTCTACACATCGCTGATAAGGAAACACTCTTTACCAATTTTCTGGTAAGTAGAATTAATCCTTTACTTTTTAGCAAGGTATAAATATGCTGGTACAAAATTAACTGCAATTGTATTTACTTGCATCCCCCCAAAAAACATTAACTCTCGACTGGCAATAGTCTCCTGCACCATCTTGAAAGTTAGCTGTGCCTTTACATCAAAGCGAGACAACTGTTGAGCATGCAATAATAGAAACCTGTGAATAATTGTCTGTAGGTGTGAAAAAGGGGTTTCTATCATTGCACGCTCACGCTCAACGGTCGTCTTGCTTCGATGTAAAGGCAAGGCTACCTTTCAAGATGGCGCAGGGAACCAATTGAAGGAGCATATTGTTATTATAGCTGACCATGATTTCATGCTTTTTCAGAAATGGCTCAAACCAGGAGGACAGCTACTTATATCAGACTATAACCGGGGCGAACAAGAACCTTCAGATAGATTTAAAGCTTACGTAAAACAGCGCAACTATCAACTCGTAACAAGAAAGGAGTATGGGAAGGTAAAACAGTAAAAAATGTCATGTATTATAGAAATATGTACTGTAAAGTGTTTTTATGTTAATTATAGATCTTAGAAAAAGTTGGGTTCACACAAGTTAAAGCTGAAGATAAAACGGAGATGTTTAAGGGTGTATTGAACAGAGAACTTAATGAGACTAAAGCAATACAAGATGAGTTTATTAAAGTAAGTTATTTACATAACAGTGGTTTCTTAGGTTAATGTGTCTACTTGTATTAGAGATTGATGTTCATCTGTTATTGCATGGCTTATCACTTTGGTAGTTTGTGGTATGACTGGAGTCACTAGTCAATACATAAATTCTTCTGGTCATTTACAAGAATAAGAAGTGATTGATTGACCTGGCTGGTTGATTTTGTTGGCTGGTTGTTCGGTTGCAGGGTTGGTTGATTTTGTTGACTGGTTGTTTGGTTGCAGGGCTGGTTGGTTGTTTGGTTGTTTGGTTTCAGGGCTGGTTGATTTTGTTGGCTGGTTGTTTGGTTGCAGGGTTGGTTGGTTGGCTAGTTGTTTGGTTGCAGGGTTGGTTGATTTTGTTGACTGGTTGTTTGGTTGAAGGGTTGGTTGGTTGGTTGGTTGGTTGGTTGGTTGGTTGGTTGATTTTGTTGGCTGGTTCCATTGTGAATAGGTTTTTAACGTGGTTCGTTAGGAAATTGGTAAGAACTGCCGATGTTAAACATTTTTCTAATTATTCCAGGAGTTCACTCAAAAGGATTATGATGACATTGTTGGAGGATGGTCTAGCAAACTTGTACGCATTGCTGATGGAGATCAGAAGTGGGGTCTTTTCCGTGGAGTCAAACCACAGCAATAAATACATACACATATGCCAAAATATACCATAATATGAACAAACAATGATGACAATGACACACAGGAAGTAAAATTCCTTTTTGTGTCTATTCATAAAGCATTTCCAACCACAATCAAACGAAAACATGCTCCAAAGACCAGTAACAATCACAAGATATTTTAAATGAGTCTTAAATTTTAATAAAAGCTATCGCAATAATGATGGTCAAAAAATTCTTCAACCTTAATATACATTTTCTTCTTAAACATTTAAAATAACCTATAGTCTAGTATATACCATACAAAACAGGCAAAAATCATTCTATATTATGACCGATTTTTGATGAAAAAGCATGGGCTATAGCTCACCAAAATGGCCAAAAATGACCGATTTTTGATCAAAATGCATGGGCTATAGCCCACCAAAATGGCCAAAAATGACCGATTTTTGATGAAAAAGCATGGGCTATAGCCCACCAAAATGGCCAAAAATGACCGATTTTTGATCAAAACGCATGGGCTATAGCCCACCAAAATGGCCAAAAATGACCGTTTTTTGATCAAAATGCATGGGCTATAGCCCACCAAAATGGCCAAAAATGACCGATTTTTGATGAAAATGCATGGGCTATAGCCCACCAAAATGGCCAAAAATGACCGATTTTTGATCAAAATGCATGGGCTATAGCCCACCAAAATGGCCAAAAATGACCGATTTTTCATGAAAATGCATGGGCTATAGCCCA